TTTCCCAATGGGAAAGTGTCTCTTTACTGAACACATCCTGAGCAAAAATCCCACCTGGGCACCATTTATGGTGCCTTTACCATATCTCCATGTGGTTTTGTGATAACAGCAAATGCACAGACAAGTATGTGGCGACAGATTGGAGAAGTGCTCTTCCTCAATGTTCATTCCTCTTCCTACTGGATTCTTATCTAGCACAAAGAGTATGGGGACAGAAGAGGGAAAAGTGAGAACAAGAATGAGGGAACACTACAGGCAAATGACATATATGTAGAGAAGAAATGCATCTGAAAGTTTTGAGAGGGGAGTTATAAAAAGTCACCACAACATGTGGCTAAGTTTCTCTTTTAGGTCATTATGTTGGAATAAGATTGATACAATCATTGCTGTCATTCCTTTTGTACTTCTTTCTGCCTTCCTTTTCTGTGTTCAGCTGTCTATTTTGTCATTAATTCTTGTCAGATTCTTCAGCATTTCAGTCAAGTCTTTTGACTGTCTTTCTAGCCCAGCATATGAATAGGCCTTCCTTGAGTATGCAGACTGTTGTGCAGACTGTGGGAGGGTTTTTTTCAGAGAGAAGTAAGTAACTAACTTCAGATTAATTAGCTGAAATTTCCTCGTCTCCCCTCTTTTTTTATAGACAATTCCTCATCTCTCCAGGAAGATGAAGAGATAGATATGGAGGCTGTCAACTGGCAGCTGAACAACACCTCCGTGAATGGGCATTCATCTACCCCAACCACAGTTCGCTTTCCCAGCTGGGTGACTTTTGACGACAATGAAGTCAGTTTTTCACCACAGAGCCTTTCTCCCTTGAAAACAGATACCCCACCTGCAGAAACACAGACCCCAGATGTTAACTTTAACCTCACTACATCCTTTAAGAAACGAGAACGTCCTAAAAGCACGTTGGGGGACCTCTCCAAAATTCAGAAACTAGATCTCTCCTCCTTAACCAAGTTGCCTTCTGTTGAAACACCACCGTGGAGTGCTACTAATCCCTTCCTGGATGAATCTCTGCGAGATGTCCAACCCTCACCCATCAATCCATTCAGCTCATTCTTTGAGGAGCGAGAGAGGCGTTCCAAAAGCTCTTCTGTCTCCAGTGCTCCAGGCAAAAGCCAAAGAGACTCTCTCATTATTCTCCATCAAGAGCCCGATACCATCAGTTTCCATGAGGCAAACAAAAGTGTAACCCATACAGATGCTGTAGAGCAGCTCAAACTACTCCAGATTGGAGACCCAGATCATGTGAGCAGTCCTGCCTTGCCTGATGATGACCCCATGATGCCATGTGATCTGGATGCAGCTTTATTTAACCTGACACCAGCTCAGCCAAAGGATGGATGGCCAATGATGCTCAGGATCCCAGAGAAGAAGAATATTATGTCATCCAGGCACTGGGGACCAATATATGTCAAGCTTACTGACAGTGGATGTATACAGCTTTTTTATGAGAAAGGACTAGAGAAACCTTTCCGGGAACTCAAACTTGAAATCAATCATGAGATTTCAGAGCGCAAACTCCAGAACTACGATGAGAATGGAAGGATACACAGTGTGCGGTTGGATCGCACAACCTACAAGGAGAAAAAGAAGTATCAGCCTAAACCAGCCATTGCACACACAGCAGAGAGAGAGCAAATTATCAAGCTTGGGACTACAGATTATGAAGATTTCCTTAGCTTCATCTCTGCTGTGCAAGATGCACTGATGAACTTGCTACCTACATCAACAGATTTGAGCACAGTAGGACTGAACTATCAAGAAGAAGAAATCACTGTTGATGTCAGGGATGAGTTTCATGGCATCTTGGCCAAGGGAGATAGTGTGATTCTGCAGCACAGTGTGCTGACCCATATCTATGTTCTCAGCTTCCTTTCTGGCCTGGCAGAATGCAGACTGGGCCTTAATGATATCCTGATCAAGGGGAATGAAATAGTTGCAAGGCAAGATATTATGCCCACTACTACTACTAAGTGGATTAAATTGTACAGCTGTCGGTTCCATTCATGTGTGGATGAGGATGTGTTTAATAGCTCTCGTATTATCCTGTTCAACCCCTTGGATGCCTGCCGGTTTGAACTGATGCGATTCAGAACTGTCTTTGCTGAGAAAACTTTGCCTTTCACTCTGAGGACAGCTGCCAGCATCAATGGTGCTGAGGTGGAGGTGCAGAGCTGGCTGATGATGTCCACGGGATTCTCTTCCAATCGTGATCCTTTAACTCAGGTCCCTTGTGAAAACGTGATGATTCGCTACCCAGTGCCAAATGAGTGGGTGAAGAACTTCCGCAGGGAGAGTGTCCTGGGGGAGAAATCTTTGAAAGCCAAGGTGAACAAGGGGGCCACTTTTGGATCAACTGGTCTGTCTGGTTCTGAGCCAGTAATGAGAGTAACTTTGGGAACTGCCAAATATGAGCATGCCTTTAATTCCATCGTATGGAGGATAAACCGACTGCCTGACAAAAACTCAGGTGAGTGGTGCGTACCATCTCTGCAGGAGTAAACTGGAAGGGGTTATGTATTTTGGAAGGTAGGGAATACTGAGTTTAAATGGTGAGAGATAAGTCATCCTCTGTAATATAACAAGGGACGTAAGTTGGTTGTATGAAGCATTTGTCTGACCCTTCATTGCAATAGTTTTACGTATCCTACAAATATAGTTAATGATAAAAACAGGTTTAAGTTTTCCAGATGCAAAAATACGTGTTCTGTATCTGCTTGGAGGTATTTAAAAGATGTGTAGATGTGGTGCTTAGGAACATGGTTTAGTGGCAGACCAGGTTCATGCTAGGTTAATGGTTGGACTCAATGATCTTAAAGGTATTTTCCAATCTAAAGATTCTATGATTATGAGACGTAGCCTTCAAACATCTCTGTGTGCTGAGCACTGTTGATGGAAGCAGGGCTTTTCCAGGTAACTTGCAAAGGCAAGATCCTGTTCCAAGGGGCTGAATGCAGGACCAGATAAATTGCTGTAGTTCCAGCACATGTGATTTCCTTTACTTGCATTGCCAAACATACAGGGACAGTGCTACGTATTTCAATGCATATGCCACAATTAATGCCTATAAAGTATCTGGAATGGGAATTGGAGGAGGACAGAAGATAATGTTCAACCATTAAAAAAAAAAAAGACATGTCCAAACTCCAGTTTGTGGCTATGTTTCTGCAATTAGAGTTTAACCTGAAGAGAGAATACCAACATGAAACTCATAAGATTTTGTATTTCTAGGTACATGTTCACAATTACACATTCAAATAATGTAGGCAAGCTACTGTTCCCTTTGGCCATTGCTGCCAGTCATTCTACTTCCTGCCTTTCATCCATGGTGCACAATAAAGCTGGACAACTCAGTGAATTCTACTTCTTGGCTTGTGTGAGCTAGACTAGCTTTTTCCAAATGAGATGGACTTTTTAGTATCAATGCTGTAGTAATGCATCTGGGTGGCTGGGAAGGTTTCTGTACTCAGTGTTCCCTGAAGGAAAGTTCAGTGTGGTACCAGATTTGGCACTTTCTAAGGACATGTGTTTTTCCTGAGTTTGAGTTATAGTGGCAGCAAAACAGCGATCCAAGCCTTCGAATAATTTGGATCACATTTCAGCCCAAGGACACCAGTTTGCACCATAGGTTACAAATTTTGAGGATACCACTGACACAAGTGAAGGCTCCATGTTTCCTGTAGTGTGGGGCATAAGGAGACAGAGTTTGGAAACTCAGGAGAAATTAACAGTGAAAAATTAACCTCAGGCTGTTTATGAGCAATAACACGCTTGCGAGGAAAATCTCACTATGCCATCTGCATGAGTTCTGGGAATGAGATGCTGTGAAATTGGGCCTTCTGTGGCATCTTCTCTCCAAAGATCTCAGTATACCATAGAGACATTACAGCTGGGGAAACGAAAGCTCCCAGACTTCGACACAATCACAGAACATGCCAGTAGCAAACTAGGAGAAGAGGCAAATCTCCTGTCTCTACTGCCTCCTTCGAGGTGATGCTCCCTTCCCCATCACTACTCTGAGGGGGATGTTGATCTGTGCCTCTTGTTTCCTTGATCCTGTCTCTCCCAGTGTGAGGTTTTATAATATATACACATTGTGACAGGGAGAAATGCATTACAGATTTGTCGCTGCTGTTGGACTTCTGCCACAGAGCATCTATCCATCAGTGTCACTGTGCAGCACAACCCAGGGCAGTTACTATTTGTTTACGTCCTGAGAGGAAAAGTGTCCTCATCCCTCTAGTCAGATCAGATGTAATTTCAGGGTAAGGAAGGGTAAGCACTGTCTTGGCCAAGACACATGAGGTATATGTCAGAGGGAGGGAATTCCAAAGTGATGACAGGGCAGCTCAAGCATAGGCTGAATCTAGCCTTGCCTTTCAGGGTTTCTGTTTATTGACAGTACTTCATACCATGGTTTTCCTTACTCAGAGTATATGGCAAACAGAGTTATATAAGTGGTACTCAAAAGCATTGATTCCCACTCCTTAGGTTTGCCTGTTGAACCAAATACACTTCTGATCATGCGATACTGATGTGGGGTCTACTCCCAACCTTGTGCCTGTTTGGCTGTATCCAGCCCTACCCATAAATCATATAATAACTCACCTCCACCTATTTGCAAAGCCCTTATAAATGATGCAGTTCTCAAGCACTAAATACTCAGGTTGTAGTATCCTTAACACCCAAATTGTTAAGAATTATTTCAGCAGCTTTGCTGTCTTATCCAAATTGTTTTCTTTTTTGTGCATTCTGATGTGATGGGGCCCTTTGCACTCTCGCTCTAGGAGACAGCATTATCAGCACATCAGTATTATTTTGTAGCGAAAGCATCTGCTTATGACTGAACACTGAAAAGCATATGACAAATGAAGGACAGTGTGTACTCTATGATTTGACCTAGGAAAAAAAGCATGGACTGGATTCTGCTTAGCACATTGCTGAAATCCTGTCAAAGTAGCTTGTTAAACTTTATTTCCTTCTCATATTCAGAATTAATATGATCAAAACAGTTGATAAAGAAATCCTATTTACAAGCTTTACAGAGCCTCAGTTACTGCTGGCTGGGCTTCACATGGTGGGGTTTTTTTTAATTACCAGCAGAATACTAGGGAATTACCCAAACAGTCTTTGATCATGGGAAAACACTCTCAGCAAAGCAGGGATGTAGCCTCTGTGCAGAGCCTTGGATCTGGATTTGAACTTTGCTCTCGTTTCGCTGTGGATCCCAGGCATGCTGTCTGGTATGCTTTCTGAAGTAAATTAAATCCTTTAATCCAGACCTGTTGGGACATCTCAGTCGTTTGGAACAGATTCCCTCCAATCACAGTAACAGATGCATACATATGAATTATATTATCAGATCCTTGATTGCCAGAACAAAATGTTAGTAACTCAGGGAAGCAAGAGGTGCAAAACTAAAGCAGTCTGTTGATTTACTCCTGGTTCTACTAAAAAGTGTACCTGTCCGTTAGAGAAAGAGCTCTGAGTGAGCCTGTTGGACAAACAGAAGATCTATATAAAGTTGTGCCTTGCTTGCCTCACAGCTAGGACACTAATGAACACTGATGTGTTGGTAATTTTGCGATAACTTCAGTGGAGGAGCTGCTTTTGAATCTGTTCACCTTGTCTACCATGCTGAGCTGGTTTAAATTACTAACTTCCATATTTTTTTTACTGTTGTGCATTGTCTTTTCTGTTAATGGATATTTCTACTAGAAGAAATTGAATTATTGAAAAACTGCCTTTGTAATTGTAAGTTGGGAG